CCACAGACCTATGCAACAATAAAAACCATTATTACTGTTGGAATAGTTCACAGGCTGCGCCTGCCACACTTTGCTGAGTCAGAGAATATGTCACTCCACAAACACTGGAAAAAATATCTGTTTTTGTTAACTCTCGTATAGTCACATATGCATGGCTCTTTCACCAAATAATAACTAATAACAATGTACTGTGGGACTTTCAGTGTCCACTATATAAGGGCAGTTTATTAGGTACACCAAGCTAAAACCAGATCAGTCCTGCTAAATATGAAGGTGCTAATGTTCAGTTGTAGAAGGGTGCTGCTTCAGCTCCCTGGTCATTTTGGAGGATGTAGTTCCTGATGCTGTTATAGGGACCTGTTTTTTATTTTTTATTTTGTCCACTTCCTTTACATCACTGAGGGTACTCTAAATAATACAAACACCTCTCTGTTTAATGCACTACAGTTTAACTGCACCACCAACTACATCTTCCAAAATTGCTTTATATTCTTCTTGCAGGTAGGATCTATTGAAGGATTGTCGTATTAGACAACAATAGATTTAGTTAAGTTGCCTAATAAACTGACAACTAAGTATATATTCTCTTCAAACACCATCTGGTTCAATTCAGCTTTATTTGTATAGTGCCAAAGCACAACAACAAATCATCTCAACCTTAGTGTTATTAAGAAAAACCCAACCAAATCCCCCTTGAGCAGCACTTGGCGACAGTGGGGAGGAAAAACTCCCTTTAACGGGAGAAACCTCTGACAGACCCCGGCTCTTGGTGGGCGGCATTCTGCCTCGACTGGTCAGGGTGAGTGGTTAGAGGAGAGAGAACTGAAGGGCATGAAGAAACACCAAACAAACACTGGGCAGGGTATTGGGGCCAGTCGTGGCTCATCTGGTGCAAAAAGGATCAGTGGTTTGTCTTGGTTACATTCCTTCATGCATCACTGAGGGTTTAAACATGCTTGTGTATCAATGTTTTGATTGAGTTTGAAAGCCATTTTAATATATGTATTATTTGCACACATATGTATTTCACTGTACCTCACCTCTTTGACTATGATGCTGTCATCACAAGTGCTGTCCAGCCCTAAGTGTTGCAGGATGGACCTCACCTGCAGTAAAGCCAACCTGTCACTGTAGAAAGACACATGCAAAAAGACTGAGAAGAATAGAAAAACATTCAACCAAAAATGCAAACATCAGGAGCTATGTGAAGTGAAATCCACTGGCACTGGTGGTATTAATTTCACAGCTCAGCAAGACGAGAGGCAAATTTCCAGATCACTTTTCACTTGCTTGAATAATGCACCGTAAACACAAATGGTTTTTGTTTACCTCTCTATCTGTGAGAGGAACTTTGTTTCAAAGATTCCTCTGGTCTTCAGTGTTTCAGAAATCTGTCCTCTGAACAGGAATCCTTTCTTGGTCATGTCTATGAGGATGTTCCTCACTATTTCACCGAGGTACATGCCGCTGCACATTTTCTCATAGCTGTAAAACACATGCAAACACAAAACATATACATTAATATACATGCATCCACACATAGTTGAAGCCATATATGCGGATCTGGGAAATAAAGGGTTAATACATTTACAGGTGTTTCTGACTTGAAGAGCGTGGACATGATGTGTGTGTGTGTGTGTGTCTGGGGGCGGGATTCTAACCTTTGTTTGCCTGGGTTGAGTGATAACTCATCCACAGCGCGGTCGTACTCTGTCCTAAAGTCATCAAGGCATCCGTTGTCTCCGAAAGCCCCCCACTCCATGTTGACACACATCTGTCCCTCATCTCCCTCTACCATCTCGATGTTTCTCATCTCCTCCATGTAACATGCATTACTGCCAGTACCTTTAAGGAGACAGACACACTGGATGAATAGAGCATAAAAAACCAAATGTTTATCAGAAAGTGTCAGTATAAAGTGAACTTACCAGCAATGAGTCCAATTTCACAGGTGGGTTCTTCATAGGCACAGGTCATCATGGTTCCCACTGTGTCATTAACTATGGCCACCACATCTAGGTCAAATTCCTTAAGAAGAAACACATAACATCACTGCAGCATCACTGTTTACTTATTGCATGCAGTGCCGTATTTAAATGACTGGAAGCAGATACTTTCCTCCCCTTCTTCCCCTTTCCTAATATCCTACCTCTCTCCTCTTAATGGCTTCCCTCAGCAGTCCCACCACATCTTCTCCTTCACAGTCTGTTGCCTTGAAGCCTTTGGTCCATGTCAACAAGGTGCCCTGTGTGCGCAAACATATAATCATAATTTTGTGAACTCCTCAGGCCTCAGAAAATTGTTTCTCATGATCACAAACTTTATCATAATGTGATCAAATTAAAAAATAAAGCAGCTTTTCTTAGCAAAACATTTCAAATTTCCTCTTGACACTGGTCATCTGTGCGTTTATCAGTACATCCATTCCGCAGAATCAGCAGCTGATTTTAAACTCTTGGAAAAGTAAGGGACAGTACAGTGTAGCAGAGAGGATGGAAGGAGGCAGAGCAGACTCACAGCGTCTAGGCTGGTCTGCCGGCAGGGGAATGAGAAGGTGAAGCCCAGAGGAAGACGAGTATTCTTCATCCCCATGTAGTCCAGGAAGTCACTGATACAGTGCACGATGTGATCAAACAGCTGAAAGAAGAGGATGATGTGTAAACTACAGTTCATATATTCAAATACATTTGTCATATTCTTTCACTACTGAGTACACAGCGAACTCTACTGTGTGAAAATGAAACATATTTGGAACAGTATTCGTGTCAGTTCTAAAATTTGGCAGCTGGTAAAATGTGCACTTTCCCCCATCTTCAGTTACTTTTAAATTTGAGTCCAGTGCATAAGTGGAACACAATGGAAAACAGCCATTTTTATGACACTATACAGTGGAATGTAGAGTAAATAGTGAACAGCTCTGGACACAGGCCACATGTCTCATCACGTCTACAATTTTCTGGCTGGTGAGGATTTAAACCACTCCTTTTAAAGTCCCTGCACAACATGGACAGATTATGTCACAATGGGCTCCTGTTCTGTAGTCTGTAGTCATTTGACTGAGTTTCTAACAGAAAGGTTAACAGTCCTTTCATGGGTCTCTGGTCTAGGGCCTCCCTGAGCCATTGGGCCTCTGTGTTTGTGCCCAGAAGGCCAGTTCAATAATCCATCCATGCTGCACAGCCACACAGGTGTCTTGAAAACCTCTGCTCAGGTTGAAGTTGGTAGAGATATGATGGGGAAATGTGTCAAACTACACATACTAATAAATGTGACAAAAGTGGAAGCTCCCCCACAGGAACCTGTAAAATAACATTCCAGGTAAAGAAACTGATGGAGTGATAGTGACAGTGAAATGTTCGAAGTCAACAGACAGGATTAGCCTCAGCTGCTTCTCAAGGGTTAAACTCAAATCTGTGTTTTAAAGTGCTAGTGCTAATCTCTACTAATCTCTGTCTCCACCTATACCTTTCCCTGTTTCTATTCTATTTACATACCTTTGAGCCAACAAGCATGACCCATCCTTCTCTCTCTTCTCCTAGAGCTCAATTTAACACAGTTTAATGTGCTAAATAACTGGCGGATCCCACCTCCTCTCCTGTACCCTGCATCACTTCTAGAGGAATAGCATAGATCTTGTTGTGCATCTCCACTGATCTCCTCTTCCCAGAACGAATCTTGACCAGCAGAACTCGAAAGTTGGTTCCTCCTAAATCCAAAGCCAGGAAATCACCGTTCTCTGGACAAGCAGACAGAGAGATGGATCAATACATAAAACAGTAACCAGTTCAACCACCAACAAAAAAAAAAAAAAAACACATTTCACCGATATGCACTGTACAAAGAATATACCACATGTACTAAAGCTGCAATTGCATTTTATTGTCCTGTGTCATTGTTTCCCTGCTTTGTTTGTGTATGTTGTCTCTCTAAAATGTTACTGATGTTATTGCTCGTTATAAAACCAATGTCTGAATCTATTTTAAAGTTGAATGGGTGGGTATGATGTTTCAGTGGTGACAGATTATCACTCGCTGAGGGTTCTATCAGTCACAGGGGTGTAACATAGTGTGAACCTGCTCTAATGAACTGCTGATTAGCAACCTTAGCTGCCTTCTTTTCCCAGCAGACACACATGTGCAGTCACAAGTTGGCAGCTTGAATGTGTGTGTACGTGCGTGTGAGAGTGTGTGTGTCACCTGAGCCGTCCGGAGTGCTTCGTACAAAGGTTGGCAGCATTTTGACAGTAGCACTGTCCTGAGTGTTCCCTGAAAGGCCGTTCTGGATCTCTGCCCTCATACGTTTCTTTACCTAAAGAAATAAAGACAATTGAATTAGTGAAGAAACACACAACAAACATGAACACACCCATACACATACACACACTACAGCATCTTTCTCTCCTCACCTCCAGCAGCTGTTCGGTTGTCAAGCGAAATTCAGACAGTATTTGGTCAATTTGTCGTGAATGCTCAGCAAGTCTGTAGGCCACAGCTGTCACCATGGCAGCACCTTTTCCACTGCCGCTCTCCGATAGCAGGAACCGGACGTCAGAGTCTGGGACCAAACGGCGAACTGTCTTATGAAGACGTCGGGCATATCTGAAATATTTTTCAAGTGTGGAAATTGTAGCAGTTTTAATAGGAATTTCCTTTTATTTAGATAGCACATATTACAGACTAATGAAGAAGAGACCACGAACAATGTAATGTAGTTTATAATTCACTGTTGAGCCTCTGAGAACAACTCTGTGATTACAATGGAACAGTGAGGAGTAATAATAAGGAGCATTATAGTGCTGATAGAACATTTAAACTAAATACATCCATTATCTTATTCCTGAACAGGGTCATGGGGGCACTGGAGCCAATCCCAGCTGACATTGAGCGAGAGGCGGGGTGCCCCCTGGACAGGTCGCCAGTCTAGTACAGGGCTGTCTCCTAGGGGCAGTTTAGAGTCACCAGTCTGCCTAAGCTGCATGTCTTTCAACAGTGGGAGAAAGCTGGAGTACCCAGGAAGAACCCACGCAGGCACAAGGAGAACATGTAGACTCCGCACAGAAAGGCCCTGGGCCAGACGGGGCCAGCCGGGGCTCGAACCCAAAACCTTCTTGCTGGGAGGTGACAGCGCTAACCACCACACCGCTCTGCTGCCCAGCTAAATACATATGTATATTTATTTATCACTCACTGTGGATGCATCTTGTAGAGAGAGCCATCGATGCCTACAGTGGTTCGGAGTCGTGCCGCTCCTTTGTTCTCCTTTAGCCTCAACAGGATGCCAGCCAGCGTGGCAGCTATCAGGTTGGCAGAGCGGAAAGACACGATGGTACAAACCTGAAGGGGGAGAAGAAGAAACATTCAAACTTCATGAACTGCAGGACAGGATAAACTCAGGATGTCATTCTTTGCTGAAATAACAATAAAACTGAAAGAAAACAAATGAAATATTTGAATATATTTAAATATATTACTATGCTGTTTTTCTAATTTGAGTGACATCTGTGACAAGAGAGATTCATATAATTCTCTGCAGCTATACTGTACACACATGCTGCACAGCGATGCAGTCATCATGTGAGGGCTCCACACCAAGTTTTGTTAAAATCTCTTTGGCCTTTGACAACCCCTCCTTACTCCTAGACAAGAGGGAGAGAGAGAGACGAAAAGAAACTATGACTGAGTGACTAATTGATTACGCAAGTGCATTAAATCTAAACAGCCCTGTAATTTGACTTACTTCTCTATGGCTGAGACATGTTTGGTGTCAATTTTCCCTTTAGTGAGCAGCTCGGGGGTGATCCTTCCCTCGAACAACAGGCCTTCTCTGGCCATCTTCACCAGAATGAGACGAACCAGCTCCCCCATGTACATACCACTGACCATCTTCTCAAATCTAAAACAAAACAGAGAAGTGGGTAAAATAGACACTGAGGAACTGGTCAGACATCATAAAATTTGGATGACTATGACTGTACCATAGTTTTCCAACAAATTGCTGTTCACTAGCAGTTCTGTGTTTTTTTTGCAGCTGAACCTTTTCTTCTTGTTTGTTAATTCAATATGCTGCTTCATCTTTAAAAAATACAGACTTTTCCATGTGAGGAAACAAGAGCAGAAAGCCAAAAAAGGCTAATTTTTTTTCTGTTACTCGTATTAACTAACACAATGTAGAATTAAATTGGATCTCAAAGCAAAAGTTAAAAAAATAGCTACATTAATCTAAAGATGAAACAGCAGACTGGAGGTACATGACGGCCTCCCGGTTTCAAAAACTACATCAGTGTTTCACTGTTTTGATTGTTTTCTCAAATATAAACGAGCCAACATTTCCCATATCATCTTTCTCTAACATATTCTCATCCCCAGCGCATCAAATGCTCCCTTCTCTCTACTTGAATAAACAGCTGGCTGAGGAACTGACAGCTCTGTGGTTTCCTTGCTGCTTGAACAGTATCTCATTTAGATTTTCACAGGGGTGAACGAGGCATCAGTTTGAGGTGTTGACGTACAGTTGTTTGCCGGGGTTGAGAGAGCCTCGGTCTATCTCTCTGTCAAACTCTGTCCTGATGTCTTCCAGCCTGCCGTCGTCTCCAAAGCCTCCCCACTCTGTGTTCACACACATCCTGCCCTCATCTCCCTCCACCAGATCAATGTGACGCAGCTCCTCCATGTAGCATGCATTGGTACCTGTACCTAAAACCATAGAAACACACATTCATTTCTTTGTCTCTAATGTTTTTTTTCACTACTTTGATGTACCTTGAGAAGACTGAATTCCATTTAATGTGTAAAAATGGAAAATGCACTCTTGAATATAATTGACTATTTAAATACACATCATTTTAGTACCAATGATGATGCCAACTTCACAGCGCTGATCATCAAAACCACAGGTCATCATTGTTCCAACCGTGTCGTTTACTACAGCCATGATGTCAGCTTCGTAGTCCTGAAATAATTTACACACACATATGATATACTGTACATATAATAATATCAATCTAAACGGTTGTTTTTGCTTGTTTTCTCTCTTTCTTTACAAGTGTCCAATTATTTAGATAATAAGAAATTATAACTTGTGTTTTTCTTTGGCAACATTGTTTATTGAAACTTTCATCACAGTAAAGCTTGAATCGCTTTGTCCATGTTATCAGATAGCCCTTCAGTAAAGCCCCCTTTGAACTGATAAATTGATATATTATGCAGTAATCAAAAAATATGTTGAGTCAAACTGTCTCTACCTTTAAGATTAGACTTAAGACTTTACTTTTTGATAGAGCTTATAGTTAGGGCTGGATCAGGTGACCCTGAGCCTTCCCTTAGTTATGCCTGGACTGCTGGGGGCCCATGATGCTCTGAGTTTCTCTCCTCTCCTCTGGAGCTCTATGTTTCTGATGAGCAGCCCCCAGCCACATCAACCTGCCCAGTGTTTGATTGTTTGTTGTTGTGTTTGTTGTGTCTTGTTGCTTTTCTTTTCTTTTCTCTCTCCTCTATCCACTCACCCCAACCAGTCGAGGCAGAAGGCCGCCCACCAAGAGCCGGGGTCTGTCGGAGGTTTCTTCCGTTAAAAGGAGTTTTTCCTCCTCGCTGTCACCAAGTGCTTGCTCAAGGAGGATTTGTTGGGTTTTCCTCTATAATAATAATAATAGCAAGGTCTAGACCTTACTTTGTAAAGTGTCCTGAGATGACTTTTGTTGTGATTTGGTGCTATACAAATAAAATTTGATTTGAATTTGAATTGAAATTGATCCATGGATAATGTTTCATCACAGCAGCTAAATTGCTTACATTCATTTACAAAAAAACAGTATAATGTTTATGAAATTGCATTTTTGTTTTAACTCTTTTCCACTCTAAATTAACTGATTGATTCATAACTGATTAAACAGTAAAAATGAAAACACAAATTAAATTTCTGCTCATCTCTAATTATTTTCACACACACACATGAAAAGAGAAACACATTTTCTGTCATCTACTTCATCCTGTGTCCCAGTCTGGAATAACCAAATACATTATAATAAACAAGTTGATCAGTTTAGATACAGAACTGAATAGTGGCATAAGAAAGCTTGAATAAGACTCACTCCTCGTTTCTTAATAGCTTTGTTGAGCAGCTTGACCACGTCCATCCCCTCCACTCCACTGGTCTTGAATCGCTTTGTCCATGTTATCAGATAGCCCTGGAGACAAACAGAGGCAAACCAGAAAAACAAAGAGCTAGATTGGATGCTTAATGGAGACTTGGCTTTATCAGTGGCACACACATTACTGTGGCTCAGGTCTCCATTACATTTGTGGCAGCAACAGATGTCAGATATTTAGAGATTGGAAAGTGTCATGTGCTACAAAGAAGCTGACTTCATGTTCGAGCAGTTGATCATTTTTTGATTTTGTTTTACCTCATCTAATTTGGTCTGCCGGCAGGGGAAGGAAAAAGTTAATCCAACTGGGAGTTTCTTGTCTTTGATGTTGTGTTTTTCCATGAAATCACCGAGACACTCTGCCACATGGTCAAACAACTGGAACAGAGGTGAAAAGATGGAGGGGTCATCTCAGGTGGAGTTAAAGAAAAGCTGTGTGTGTATGTGCACATGTATTTCAGTATGAACCTACTCTTGTTCCACTGCCGTGAATGATGTCCTCTGGTGTGTCATAGATCTCACTCTCCATCTGAACGGTCTGTTTCTTCTCATGACTCACTTTGACACGAAGGATCCTGAAGTTACTGCCTCCCAAATCCAAAGCAATGAAGTCTCCTTTTTCTGTCAGGAAGAGGGGGAGAAACAGAGACAGGAAAGTTGAAAGAGACAGAGAGGGACAGAAATGACAGTGGCCAGACACCTACACTTTGACGTGTTATCTTTTAATTGTTTATTTAACTTTTATTTTACCAGGAATTCCTG